AGCTGCCTCCTGCACAACTCCTACTGGGGATGTGCCCGCCACCAAGGTACATGCCCTTGACTGGAATCGAACCCGGGACCCTTCAGTCCACAGACCGATGCTCTATCCACTGAGCCAAACCGGTTAGGGCTGAGCCAAGTTTTTGAGGACATGCCCAGAAGCAAGATCTTGAATAATTGAGAAGATGTTCTGGAGAGTGGCATTTTGAATTCCTTTTATGCATTTAGAATCAAAGGACAGAAACATAAGGAAGGTACATGAAATCCCTTGGTGGTAGATTAAGGAGGCAGGAGAAAGCAAAGTGGGGAAATCTCTAGAAATGGATAATGGTTGGCTTTTTTTTTTTTTTTAATCCTTACCCGAGGAGTGAGGATATTTTTTTCCATTGATTTATTTTTAGAGAGAGTGGAAGGGAGGGGGCAGGGGAAGACAGAGGGAAAGAGAGAAGCTTCAAGGTGCAGGCTGACACTAATGACTGAGCCACGCTGGCCAGGGCAATGGTTGGCTTTGAATTGACCCTTTTCTCTTGCTGATTGTGCCATTAGTGGTTTTCTAAAGGTAATTCTTCAATTTTGTGACACCTATAAGACACCAGTATATCCTAAAAAGAGGACTATTTTAGCACTCCCCTTTTTCTATACTTGTAATTTTCCCCTAGCTATCAGAATTGGATTAGAAGTTACCCAAGGAAAAGGCAGGAGAATCCTATGCTATTATACATACGATCTAATTTGATGGGAATGGGTGTGTTAGATTTGTTAGGAAATTGAAATAGAACACATTTACAGTAAATCAGTTACTTTTATTTTATCATGGTTTTCCCACTCTTTTTTTTTTTAGTGTTTAAAAAATTTTTATTTGGAGATAATTTCAAATGTATAAAATAGTTGCAAAAATAAAAAGAGTACAAAAAAGCACCTGTATATTCTGAATCCTGATTCAACTAATTTTAACGTTTTACCCCATTTGCTTTCTCTTTTTTCTTTCTTTTTCTCAATGTTACGTATGTACAAATGTATATACTGTACATTTATCTTTTATGACATTGGCAATTTTGAAAAATATAGTCTCCCCTCCTTTTTTTTTATAATTGTTGGAATTAAAAAAAAATAGGTGGCAATTTATTTTTTTATTTTAAGTTGATTTTTAGAGAGAGAGAGGATGGTAGGAGAAGAGAGAAACACTGATGTGAGAGCAAAAACATTGATCAACTGCCCCCTGCATACCCACTCCCTGGGATCCAGCCCACAACCTAGGCATGTGCCCTGACTGGGAATTGAACCAGCAACCTTTTGGTGCATGAGATGATACTCAACCAACTGAGTCACACTGGCCAGGACTATTGTTGGAATTTTTTAAAAAATGTGATAATAATTCAGATACCATACGGTTCACCTTTTAAAAGTGTGCAGTTTGGTGGGGTTTTGTACATTCATCAGATTGTGCAGCCTATTGTCTATTCCAGGACATCTTTATCACTGCAAAAAGAGACCTTTAGCCGTCACTCCCACTGTATCCTTCCCCCATTCCCTGGCACCAGCAATCTACTTTCTGTCTCTATGGATTTGCCTATTGTAGACATTTCAATAAATGGAGCCATACAATATGTGGCCTTTAATGTCTGGCTGTTTTTTCAAAGTAGAACGTTTTTAAGGTTCATCTCTGTTGTAGCATGAATCAGTACTGAGTAATATCCCATTGTATGGATTAACATCATTCCATTGTATGAATATAGCACATTTTGCTTATCATTCCTTCATCATTTGGTGGCCATTTGAACTGCTTCTACTTTTTGGCTATTATGAGTAGTGCTGCTATGAACATTCTTGTACACTTTTGCACGACCATATATTTTCAGTTCTCTTGACAAAAAGTGATATAACTCTGGTTAAGTTTTTGAGGAACTGCACTCATTATTTTTAGTTTCATTCCGAGAAATTTTTTCTTCTCTTTGAAAATTCAGGGCAGTGATTCAGGGGTTGGGATGGGTGTGTTTTTTTTTTCAACTTCAGATGACCTTCCAGAGATTTCATGTTGAGAATAACCTAAAAGCCTGGCATGGTGCTCCCCTATTGACCTGAAAATGAAATACTGAGATGATCGGACCTAGCAAAATAGTTCTTTTCAGTTGTGTTTGATGGATTTTAATGCTTTTCATTTCTGTTTAACCCTGTAAAGAGATTGTTGGCAATCTTGCTTGTTTTAGGAGGTAAGAATGCTTCCTAATTAGGATGTTTTTTTTTATCCTTATCCAGTGGTTTAAAAGGGAGAACTGGGAATCCATTCAATACAGGTGTTTTTTTCATTTTTAAAAAATCATAGAGAAAAAAAATGAAACTATATGTAGGGTTAGTCAAAGTCCCTTAAATGGGAGAAAAATCTTTCAATGAATTTTGTGGGTATAATTATTTTGAAGATGTGATGGAAGATCAGATAAAGCCGCAAGAATAAAGTTGTTTGGATATTATTTTAATATCTATAGTAAGGTGTTCTTTCCTGATAGAAAAGAGTTTGAGTTTTTATCTAGTTTGAAATATCTTCAGGCATAGGTGAGAAGTTCTGTAAATATGTTAGGAAGATGAAGGAATACAAAATTCAATGAAAGATAATATGAGTAGGGTTGAAGAATTTTGTGAGATGTCAGGAAAATTTAGTAACATTTAACTTAAATCTAAGGCTACAAGGACTATGAGATCAATTGTCTTTAAGTTATAAAGTCTCTCCTATACAAAATAAGTATTAGAGTCACTGAGAAGAATCCAGAATGCCCTGGCTGATAATAATCTCTGATAATAATAAAACCTCCATCAGTTAAAATGATATAACCAAAGTGTCCTGGAATGATGTCACTGTTTCAAGAAGAGACAGGCAATTTTTTAAACTTAGGGAGATTTAAATATAAAAATATTTGAGAATTTGACTCATGGGTTTAATGGTTTTATGCTAATGAAGCAGTACATATTTTTGTGTGTGTGTGTGCACTTGTTAACTTAGCCCATTGGAGTAACATGTCAGTCTTCTAATTCCATTTTTAAATTCATAATTAAGTAATTGACCTATTTTTGTGGTTTTTATATCGAAATCTTACCAAATTTGTGTATATATATGAGAATGTATGAAAATTTAAAACTCACTGTATTTGTACATTTAATTTATTAGCTTTATAAAGATTAGTATAAGTACTTGGATACTTTTAAGAGAAGGGTGACATGTCTAACGGAAGTAGGATGTCTCAGTGTATTTAACGAAGCTTGTAAATGCTACCAGATATTATCCCAAACTCTTAAAAGTAATCTTTGGTTGGATGCTTGACATTGTGAATGTAATATTGTTACATGCTCAATTTTTTTCTTTGCAAAGTATTGGACTTTGTTCTTGTGGGCTGTCATTTGTGGATTAGCTTGAGCCTCACAAGGCTTGGTTCTGAGTTTGATTGGGGAGAAGCTACCGCATACCCGACACTAGGGCTAGCTTTGCTACTCTTCTTGGGTCTACTGAATGTTCTCGGGGTTCAAAGAGGCCTCTCCTCTAAAGGGGGGTAGGTCTTGAGTGACAAATCCCCAGTAATTATTGGCCTAGCCTTGTGGAGTTCACACTAAGGCTTGATAGTCAGTTCTCAAGCTCTTTCTCTGATAGCTTCCTCTTTTCCAGTTTTCTATCCTATAAACTCTTAAGCCTCAGTTTGTTATTAAATAGAAATGACATACATATCTTATAACATAGAAACCCACACCTGAAACCTGTATGTTTATGTTGACCAATGTCACCCCAATAAATTTAATAGAAAAAAAAGAATGACAGTGTTCTCCTCATACTTGTGAGGGCAATTAAACGAGTCGATGAATATAAAGCATTTCCCACAATGCTTGGTTAATAGTAGGAGCCAAATAAATGTTGGCTTTTTTACTCTTGTTGTTTTAATTATTATTTAATTATTATTATTATTGCTGTTCCCATCCTATTATTATTGCTCTTCCCATCCTATTATTGCTAGGTCACATAGGTATTTCAATAAATGTTTGCTGAATTAATGTATTAGTTTTCAGTTACATTAATATTTTTATCTTATCTACAGTTTTATTTATTTTAAATACATTTTTATTGATTTCAGAGAGAAGAATGTAGAGGGAGAGAAAGAGAGAGAGAGAAATATCAATGATGAGAGAGAATCATTGATCAGCTGCCTCTTGCGCGCCCCACACTGGGGATTGAGCCTGCTACTCAGGCATGTACCCTGACCGGGAATCGAACCGTGACCTCCTACTTCATAGGTGGATGCTCGATCACTGAGCCATTTGGGCTGGGCACCTTATATACAGTTTTAAAGTTGTTTGAAATTTGTAGAAAATAAATAACCTGTGAATATGTTTGATAACATATCTTCTGGTAAATTTTTAATATTCGCTACATGGTTAGAACAGATACTGAAATGCTGTCTCTTTTTCAATTTTAGAGAATTATTACTACGTTTCTCCGTTGGTTGGTGTCTTTTTCTTGGCTCTAACTCCGATCTGGATTATAGTAGCAGCCAAACATCCAGCCACCAGGACAGTGCTCTACTCGGGCTGGGAGCCTGTCATAACAGCTATGGTTATAAGTAGGTTAGTATTAAATGTGTGTGTGTGTGTGTGTGTGTGCGCGCGCGCAGCCTATGTGCCTGTATCTATGTGTACATTAAAACAAATTGATTGCCTTTTTTATTTCTTGGGTCAATTATATTATGCATATTGGGTCAATTCTTTATTATCCAAAGTGATAATGGATATATGTGATAGAAATTACAGAAATCAGTAGATATAGAGAACCTCATTTGGCTACCAGTTGTAAACTTCTCTCCAACCAAATCTTTACCAGATTGCTGAGTGAAATTTAGTGGTGTTTGTCTTTGTATGTGTGTGTTTGTATGTGTGGGTGTGTTTTTGTGTGTGTGTGTGTTGTAACCTGACAAGAACATTACTTGTTTTTCATAGTAAATTGCTCAGATAGGTATCAGAAAGCCTTAGAAATGTGTATGCCATTCAAGTATTTCCACCTCTAGGCCTCTGACAGGACTTAAGGATATAATTAAGGATATATGCAACAGATTTAGTTCCAAGGACCCTAATCACCATGGAATTTTTAACGAAAGAAAGAGAGAATACCTTAGAGGCCTAGCAGTCAGATATTGATCAAATGAAGTGTGATGCAGTCACAAAAAGGAGTATCAGTCAGCCATTAAAAATAGCATTGTTATAAGTCTTTGACGAGGAAAGGTGTTCATTATACCCTTGGTGAAAAGAGTAAGCTAGAAATGAATATCAATTTCCTGTTAAACATGGTAGATTGACGTGCTTATCTTCCTTCCTAAAACTACCAAAATGACAATAAAAAGATAAAAAGCTATAAAACTACGAAGAGAAGGAGAACAGAGAGGACAGCAAATGAGAAATTAGTAAGATAGGAATCAGGTGGATAGTTGTTAACTGAATGAAAAAAGCTAAAACCCAGCCTCCAGCAGGGGGAGCACCCAGAAGCAGTGCCCGGATCTGAGCCTCAGGAACCCAGACAGGTGGAGGCATTAGGGCCTTGAGTACTTCCGAAAGCTGAAATGAAGATTGATGGGCAGTGTGTGTAAGAAGCAGTTAGGTCCTAACAGCCCTTCTCTAGTCTGACCACCCAGGTAGCTGCCCCTCCCACCTTAGCAGAAGACAGGAATTCACTTTGGAGAGACTAAATGGGAGAGGCTCCAGGCAAGAAATCAGATCCTGTCTTTCTGGGGGAGGTCTTCAGCTCAACAGAAAACCTGCATGTATTGACCCTTGCAGGTCTTTTAGTGAAGGAGCTGCATGCCCACCTGACCATTGTTCAGTGAGGCCCACCTGCTGATCAGCTCTGCCCAGGCACACAGACCTCCAAGTGTGCTTTCCCTTGTGCCCTATAAGGAGGGGTAGCTCAGCCGAAACCGGTTTGGCTCAGTGGATAGAGCGTCGGCCTTCGGACTGAAAGGTCCCAGGTTCGATTCCGGTCAAGGGCATGTACTTGGGTTGCGGGCACATCCCCAGTAGGAGATGTGCAGGAGGCAGCTGATCGATGTTTCTCTCTCATCGATGTTTCTAACTCTCTATCTCTCTCCCTTCCTCTCTGTAAAAAATCAATAAAAATATATTTAAAAAAAAAAAAGGAGGGGTAGCTCTTCATCAGACAGTTGTTTAAGACTTGTAACATGAAAGACGGAGAAAACTATCTCCGATGTCCTCAGAGAAATGAGAAGCGGCGGCATCCACAATTCTGTAAGAGCAGAATGATTTCAGAGGAGGGTTGAAAAAAACAAAACAGGAAGAGCTCTTGGAATTCAGAAATATAGAAATAGCAGAAACAAAATCAGTAGAATAGTTAGAAGGTAGAACCATCCAGGAAAGTAGAACAGAGAACAGAGAGGTAGACGATTGGAGGCAAACAATAAGGAGAGGAAATTATCAAAGAAATAACATAAGGAAATTCCCCAGAACGGAAGAACATGGGCTTCCTGATTGAAAGGGGCCACTATTTTTTTTTTTAAAGATATTTTATTGATTTTTTACAGAGAGGAAGGGAGAGAGACAGAGAGTTAGAAACATCGATGAGAGAGAAACATCGATCAGCTGCCTCCTGCACATCTCCCACTGGGGATGTGCCCGCAACCAAGGTACATGCCCTTGACCGGAATCGAACCCGGGACCCTTGAGTCCGCAGGCCGACGCTCTATCCACTGAGCCAAACTAACATAAGGAAATTCCCCAAAACGGAAGAACATGGGCTTCCTGATTGAAAGGGGCCACTATTGATTGAAAGGAGCCACTACGGGTCCAGCACCATGAGTTGGAGCAGGAGGGGCCCACATCAAAGCACGTCATCATAAAATCCCCAAAGCTTCCGGAATGAAAACCAGTTGCATACAAAGGATTGGGAATCAGAATGATGCCCACTAGCAACACCAGAAGCGATTCCTCCAAAATTCTGAGGGATAATGTTTTTTTATATATATATTTTTTTATTGATGTTTTTACAGACAGGAAGGGAGAAGGAGAGGGATAGAGAGTTAGAAACATTGATGAGAGAGAAACATCGATCAGCTGCCTCCTGCACACTCCCTCCTGGGGATGTGCCTGCAACCAAGGTACATGCCCTTGACAGGAATCGAACCTGGGACCCTTGAGTCCGCAGGCCGACGCTCTATCCACTGAGCCAAACCGGTTAGGGGGAGGGATGTTTTGAACATAAAATACGGTCTCAGTATCAACCAAACATAAGGACAGACTCACGAAGTTTTCAGACACACAGGATTTCAGTATATTGGTTTCCCATAGACCCTTTCATATAAACGTTGACAAAAGATAATTTTATCAAAATAAGGAACTAAGAAATAAGACGACATAGAAATGAGGATAGCATGTGGTTTGTTTTTCTGTAATGTAGGTTGTTTTTTTCCGGGGGGATTCAGGCAACAGGATCCTGTGAAATGCTGGGAGTTGGTCACAGTCATAGACTAAGCCTCCTCATGGGGCGATTGAAGGGTAGGTAGGGATGACAGCCGTGCACCAGGCCTAGAGAGCAACTGCCCAGGCTATCGGGAGAACAGTGGGCTTCAGGAGGAATGTCTCTAAGGAGAAAGAAAGTGGAATCAATTGGTTACCTGCCGGATGAGCTTGACTGTAATCAGGGGCATTTCATTAACTTCGCTACAAATTTGAGGCTGAATTAGGAATAAACAGCTAAAAAAATTTAAGAAAAATATGAGACAAAGCAAACAGTACAAGTGAGGAAATCTAACAAGATGCTGTGTATTTCAGTTGTGAATTATGATCCCATTGTTATAATAAAATAAACTCTAAATGTTTCACCAAAAATGGTAACCAGACTGTCAGGATAGAGAGAGGAAGAGAATTGTGAAGGGACTAAAGTGAGGAGGGAAGGGTGAGATTAAATCCTCCATCTGCCACAGTGGATGCTGTTAGGGAAATGTTTAAAATTATAAGTTAAGAAATAGTAGGGAAAATGTGTTATTTAGAAATACAGAATTAAATGCCAGAAGAAACAGCTAACAAAGTTGAAAAGAATTGGTAGTGGAAAGCGGGATCTGGGGGGTGGGACCAGGGACGATTTTATAAGCTTTGTGGTACTTTCACTTTTTAAATAATGCTCCTGTGTTTGTTTGTTTTTTATCTTCACCAGAGGATATTTTTCCATTGATTTTTAGGGAGACGGAAAGAGAGAGGGAAAGACAGAGAAACATCGATGTGAGAGAGACACATCAACTGGTTGCCTCCTGCATGCACCTGACCAGGGCCCGGGCCAGAGAGGAACCTGCAACCTGGGCATGTGCCCTTGACCGGAATTGAACCCAGGACCCTTCAGTCCACAGGCTGACACTCTGTCCACTGAGCCAAACCGGCTAGGGCATGCTAGAAATAAAATTTAATAAAAGTGAAGGAAAATACTTTTCCAATTTGGGTTTTTATTTTTAAACATATACACATTTTAAAATGTCTGGGGAGGGTATTTACTAACATGCTAACAGTATAACTCTGAGTGATGTAACTATGGTTGATTTTTATTTTCTTTTTATTTATATTTTCTATAACAAGTTTTATTATCTGGGCAACAAAAATATTTTTAAATGTTTTTCTGCAAGTGTTCATTGTATATGCACTTAAGTATATACTTTCCTTTTTACAAGTCACTTATCTTGGAGATCAGAAAGAGAGCCCTGAATGTGGGGCTACAGCTTATATCATGTTTTATTTTCAACATTTGTGATTGACATTGATTTTTACCTTGGATATAGTTTATCTATTTTTTAATGTCTAATTATTTTATTTTTAAAAACAATCTCTTCTTTTTAAAAATACGTTCTTATTGATATTTAGAGAGAGAGAGGAAGAGAGAGGAATAGAGAGATAGAAACATCGGTGAGAGAGAAACTTCATCAATCATGTCTCCTATTGGGGATAAAGCCCGCAACCTGGGCATGTGCCCTGACCGGGAATCAAACCTGTGACCTCTTGCTTCCTGGGTTGACACTCAACCACTGAGCGACACCAGCCAGGCTCAGGCTAATTATTTTATTTTTAAAAGTAGCGGTGTTTGTATATAAAGAACAGCTTCAAATTAGTACATTTCCTTTCCTCTTCCCTAAATTATATGATTTTATATCTTTCAGCATTGGAGGCCTTATTCTGGACACAACTGTATCTGATCCAAACTTGGTTGGAATTGTTGTTTACACACCAGTTATTAATGGTAAGAATTAGATATACTATTTCATAATGATATTAAGGCTTTCTATGCTCTTAAATGCTAAGAGGAATTTTAGGGCTCGGATTTAAGAGGGCTGTCTGTCCCATCCCAATCATTCTCTCTCCAACCCCAGGTTGCTGCTCAGAGTGAAAATGACCTTCCCCTTTTTCAATATGCAGAACACATTTTTGAAAAGAACTGTTTCTTAATCTTGTTACTGATATAAGTTTGAGAGTCAGGCATACCTGGCTTTTAAGGGTAGTGAGGCAAAATGCGGTAGTTCAGTTCTGGATATTTGGGTTATATCTACTATCTTGTGTTGTTTTACTGCTGCTCCTTATCAATTTTCATGGATAAATCAGAGTTAGGTCAGTTTGAGTCAGTTGCTTGAGTCACTTGAGTCCATGAAAATCTGTCATCCCTCTCATTAAATTCAATAAAAATTAAAAACAAAAGAAAAAAATCTATCAGTCCTCTGCTGATCCCTTTAAAATCTGTGTTATGTTTTTTCTTATCTATAAAATGGGAATTACAGCACTTAAGTTCACAGGGATTTTTCTATGGATTCTGTTTAATAAGATAATTTTAATCCAGTCCTACTGGGTTTTGGTCTGGCTCTCATTAAATTGGATTTGAGTATAGCCCAAGTGAATATAATTCAAAAAGTAATTCTGCCTGGGGAAAACATGTCACAGGATATACTACACATCTAGTATAAATTACTTTTATTTACTTATGTATAAGAAAACATTTTATATGAAGATAAGTTCTCCAAAATCCACTTTTATATCTAAAATTTCTACTCTACATTGAAATTTTTATATAGCTTTAGAATGTTCAGGGTATATAAGAAGATAATCTAGATTAAAAGATGACTTTCTTGAGGTTTTTTTTATAGTGCCATATACAAATTTCTTTAGTAACCTGAGAAGAAAAGTATCTAGCCTTATCTTTTGAATAAATCTAGCATATGTTCTCTCTCATTAAGATGATAAACATGATACATCTTGTTACCTAGTTTTATATCTTGGGATTTTTTTAAAATTAAATTTTTATTTGTTCAGATTACATTTGTTTCTCTTTCCCCCACCCCCATAACTCCCCTCCTTCCAGTTCCCGCCCCACCCTCCGCCCTCACTCCCCACCCACTGTCCTCATCCATAGGTGCACGATTTTTGTCCAGTCTCTTCCCGCATCTCCCATTCCCCTTTCCCCCCCAAGAATAGTCAGTCCATTCCCTTTCTATGTCCCTGATTCATTATAATCACCAGTTCATTCTGTACATCAGATTATTTATTCACTTGATTCTTAGATTCACTTGTTGATAGATGCATGTTTGTTGTTCACAATTTGTATCTTTACCTTTTTCTTCTTCCTCTTCTTAAAGGATACCTTTCAGTCTTTCATGTAATACTGGTTTAGTGGTGATGAACTCCTTTAGCTTTTCCTTATCTGTGAAGCTCTTTATCTGACCTTCAATTCTGAATGATAGCTTTGCTGGATAAAGTAATCTTGGTTGTAGGTTCTTGGTATTCAGCACTTTGAATATTTCTTGCCATTCCCTTCTGGCCTGCAAAGTTTCTGTTGAGAAATCAGCTGACAGTCGTATGGGTATTCCCTTGTAGGTAATTGAGTCTCTTTCTCTTGCTGCTTTTAAGATTCTCTCTTTGTCTTTTGCTCTTGGCATTTTAATTATGATGTGTCTTGGTGTGGTCCTCTTTGGATTCCTTTTGTTTGGGGTTCTCTGCGCTTCTTGGACCTGTAAGTCCATTTCTTTCACCAGGTGGGGGAAGTTTTCTGCCATTATTTCTTGAAATAGGTTTTCAATATCTTGCTGTCTCTCATCTTCTGGCACCCCAATAATTCTGATATTAGTCCGCTTGAAGCTGTCCCAGAGGCTCCTTACACTATCTTCACACTTTCGGATTCTTTTTTCATTTTGCTTTTCCAGTTGGGTGTTTTTTGTCGAATCTTTGGTTTGATTCTTGTGCTCCTCTGGTCTGCTATTGGGTATACTATTCTTTATTTCAGTCCGTGTATGCTTACTTTCTAATTTCTTTATCGTAGCATCGAGGGTCTCATTAGTTTTTGTGAGGCTCTGCTCAAGTTTATTGCAAGCCCTCAAAATTGCGATTCTTAGCTCCATATCCTCCATTTCTGTCATGTTTTTTTGTCTCCGCACCTTTTATGCTTTCTTGGTGCACCCCCTTGTGGTCTTTGTGCGCAGTCTTGTTCTAGCCAAGCCTTAATTGTTGTAGTTAACACTAGAGGGATTTGACCACCAGGCCGACTGGCTGTAGGAATCAGCTGTGTGGAAAACGTCTATCTTCTGGGGAGGCGCTAATCCAGCCTTTGCCTGAGGCGATCGGCAAATGGCTGTGCGCAGGGCTTGGGCGGGGCGGGATCAACAGGGCGGGGGGAGGGAGCCGCTATGGCTGCTCTCAGTCCGTCCCCAGGGGCTCTGCCTCTCTGTCCCAGTGACCGCTGCAAACCTCGGAGGGACCGTAGCCAGACAGTCCCGCTTCTCCCGTTTGAGTCTGGGTCCCTAGAGACTCGCCCGGATCTGTAGCCCAGAGTCTGAGACTCACTCCTGATTGAAAACGACAACCGCGCCCTCAGCCACCAGCCCGCTTTGCGCGCGCACCACCGCACCACCGTACCTTTAAATTTTCCACACTGCGCCTCCTCTGAGCCTCGGAATGCTGTTGTTTTTCCTTCTAGTTGAAGAGTCTCTCCTCAGCCAGCCTTCCTGTGGTTCTGGTTGATGTCCGTTCCGTCTTTTAGTTGTATTTTTGAAGTGGTTGTTTACGGCGGCAGTCTCCGGTGTTTACCTATGCCGCCATCTTCGATTCTCCAAGTATACTTATTCTTCATCTGCAATACTTTTAACAGTGAAGATAACAACAACAACAACAACAACAATCTGGGCAGCCCGACTGGCGTGGCTCAGAGACTGAGCATCCACCTATGAACCAGGAGGTCATGGTTCAACTCCCCGTCCTATATCTTGGGATTGATAGTAACTTTTAAAAAGAACTTATTTTGGTCTGCTTTCAGACCAGACAGTAAGTCAGATGTGAAAAAATAATGTCTTTCAGAACAATGCTTTTCATGCCTTTGGAATATCTACCTCCACTTAAATAAATCCGCATCTCAGAAGAACTTTTTATTTTGTTTCATTGGCCCAGGGTGTGACATAAAGAGGCTTGCAGTTGGTTGAATTGATGCAAGTTGTTTAAAATATGAGGCTACCTACTCTGTTTTCCTGTGTTTCAGGGATTGGTGGTAATTTGGTGGCCATTCAGGCGAGCAGGATTTCTACGTACCTCCACTTGCATAGCATCCCAGGAGAACTGCCTGATGAACGCAAAGGCTGTTACTACCCGTTTAGAACTTTCTTTGGTTCAGGTATGTGCTTGTGGATTTTTACATGTTTTATTTCAGGAACTTCTCCTCTCTGTGAGGATAGGCGGGCAACAGTTGTTGAATACGTATTTTGTGAGTATTGCACAACTTTGTTATTTCTGCGTGCTAAATAGATCTTAAATAGAATAGATTTTGTTCATTAAATCCCAGTGAGCAAAAATCATTCCTATCAATTCTGCAGTTGTTGAGGAGCTTTGTGTAATTTTTCTCTCGTCCCTTTCTCTGGGATGTCTTGTTGGAAAGAGGAACCTCATGGATACGGGCAAACAATGCTAGGTGGTTTAGGGAGACAGGTGGGCTGTCTTTCCTGTAGTGATCTTTTTGGCCTTCTCAATGGAGGCATTCGATCCCAGATAAACGGGATGAGGGGTGATAACCTCAGTTACAAGACACGTGCATTATTTATGCCAACCAGGCATGTGAGAACCAACAAACTAAAACAACCATTTAAGCCTCACAATTCGTGTTATTTTTTTCTGATGAAAATAAATGTAATTGTGACTTTTGAATGAGGATCAGAGATGCCCAGCTTATGATAACAGTGAGAGAACTCTAAAGGAAATGTAAAATGAAACATTTTAGTACTGTAGGAGCTTTATATTTTTCTTTTGTCTTTCCTCTATTTTTATGTAAAGTCTGACCAGTGTTCTTCATAGCAAATTTTTGTCAACCACCTTTTGTTTAATTAACATACTATAACATAGGGAGAATTTCAAAGAAATTTATTTTTAGCAGTTGAATTTTATGTGATGCAGTAACTAAAAGGTAATCCCCAAATTTCAATACATTTCTTTTTAGCAGTTGAATTTTATGTGATGCTATGTGGTATCGTAACTAAAAAGTAATCCTCAAATTTCAGTAACTGACCTATTATGAACCAAACTATGATTTTGTTTTAACAACGTTTACATTTTACATTACAGGAGTAAATCATAAGTCTGCTCAAGTTCTGCTGCTTTTAGTGATTCCCGGACATTTAATTTTCCTCTACACGATTCATCTGATGAAGAGTGGTCACACTTCGCTAACTGTAATCTTCGTAGTAGTATTTTTATTTGCTGCTGTGTTACAGGTAAGAGTTAAAACCTCTTATAATCTTTTTTATGCTCAAATTGATGTAAAAGTATAACTACATGTAAATCTAAAGGCATGAAATATTTTAACATTTAAAAAAATCAACTTGCTGCCTTCCTAATGCTTTGATCTTCTTAAAACTAGTAACTCAAGACCTGTTTTAATATGATCTGATCAATAGAACCTTTGGATTTCCTGTTTCTGGATTCCATGTCTTCCTCTTATTTATTCTCTTGTTTTATATGAATACATCTTCTAATAGATTTCTGAGAAAGAGTGCATCAGAGTAAATATTTTGAGCCTTTGCATCTTGTAAAATGCCTTAAAAATTTTTTTTTTTCTTTATTGATTTCAGAAAGGAAGGGAGAGAGAGAGATAGAAACATCAGTGACAAGAGAGAATCAATGGTCGGCCGCCTCCTGCATGCCCCACACTGGGGACCGAGCCTGGATCCCGGGCATATGCCCTGACCAGGAATCAAACCATGACCTCCTGGCTCATGGTCAGTGCTCCACCCCTGAGCCACTTTTTTTTTCTTTTTTCTGTACATTGATATGTTGACTGGATATAGAATTTTGTTTCTTTTAGGAAACAGAGAAAGGCATAGCTTCTTTGTCTGTTAATTTCTCCCATTACCGTTGAGAAGAACAGCAGATGCCATTCTCATGGCTGATTTCATTGTACAAATCTACTGTTATCTCCCTGGAAGCTGGCAAGATCTTCTCTTTCCCCCCTTGCTCTTAAATTTCATGTTGCTGTGCCCTGGTTTGGGTGTATTTGGACTGTTTTGTTGAGCATAGTTCAACCTTTTGTAAAAAATCACGTTCTTCTGTTGTAGGAAATTTTTTTGAAAAGCTTCTTTGGTGATTCTCTCTCTCTTTCTGGAATCTTAATTGCTTCCTGGGACTCTTGCATTAAACTTCTTATCTTTTCTTATTCTCTGTTTCTTTATCTTTTTTTCCTTTCTATGGGAGATTTCTGTGCTTTTGTAAATCTTTTCACTGCTGTGTTACTGAAGTTACAGGAGAGAGTAGAGGTGAATGCATATGCTCAGCTTGCCATCTTTATTTTACATGGAAGGCTATTAATTTTAAAATTGAAGAAAATTGTCTTTATTTTTAAAATGTGTGATCAATATAATACATGTACAGAATTTTAAGATTAAATAGTACTAAAGGGTTCTACCTTTCAAGCATTTCTCAGACAGTCACTTTGAAATATTTTAGCTATTTCTTCTGGTAGTTATCTGTATGTTTTAAAGTGATGTGCCTAAATTTCTAGTTTGTTTTTTTTATTAATCTCAGAATGCCCCATCTTTCCCAATAGTTATATTACAAGTTTTTGTTAAATTAGTAGTCAGTGTTCTCATTATTAGGCCTATCTAAACATTGCTTACTATAGAGCCAGATAATATACTGTGATTATATTTTCTTTTGTGTATTTTTATTTTTCTTGGGGTTAATAATCACAGATTTCTTCATTGTATCCTTTTTTTTATAAATTGTTCTTAATTTTTTCCAACGGTTCCAGCTTTATTTTGGTTTCTTAGTCATGACTTCTTGCTAAGCTCTATAGGATTTGGTACTTCCTATACTGAGAAATCCTAACCCCTCAAGGAATGTATTCAAATAATTATTTAGAGAGAGAACATTTGAATTTGGCCTTTCAGGGGTTTGACACACATGAGTGAGGCTAGAGGATAGGTTTGGGGACACTATTCCAGTAGAAAGAAACTGCGTGATGCTAATGATGCTAATGAAATTAACCAACATTTACAGTGTTTCCAATATGACCGGTGCTCTTAAGTGCTTTACATGTTTTGTTTCAGTTAATTTTCACAAAGATTCTCTGAGATTTCTTCATTATATATAAGTCAGTAATTTTCAAAGTGAAGCAGATGTGAAATAATGCATTGTGTATGGAAAGAAAAGATTTAAATGTCTATATGTTTTTCTTCATTTGCTTAAAATGCTTGTTTTCTTCTATTTTATGATTATTTTGTAATGAGCATACTATATTTGCATGGTGTTAAGTATGCTCAAACATTTTATACTGAAAGGGCTACATAATTTAAAACTTTAGAGATTCCTGAGTAAAAGCATAGAGATGAAAAAGCACAGAGCTTATGAAAGAAAGAGAAAGTAACTCATACACAGTAACTAATACATAGGAGAAGGGAATAGATGAGATAAGGTTAAAAGGATAGATTAAGGACAATGTAGATGGAAAGGCCTTAAATGCCAGGCAAGGGGGACTAGAATCTGTTCTTAAGATAACAAGAACCCTTATGACTTAATTGATATTTTAACTTTTCTACAGTTATAGTGCTGGATATTTTATTAGAAGTCACCTGTAAATAATTCATTCACTTATTCATTCAATAAGCCTTTGTTCTAGTAGATGCAGGAATTGGTTTTGAATCCCAGGATGAATAAATTCAGACCCTATCCTCAAGGACTCATAGTCTGGAGAGAAGACCATTATATGAACAAATAATTATAATGAATATAATATCATAATCTATATATATAAAAGCCTAATATGCAAAGTGTCCCCTCAGGAGTTCAACCGACTGGGAGTTGGATCGCTTGCTATGATGTGTGCTGACCACCAGGGGGCGGTGTGGTACAAAGGAAGGCCCCAGCCAGCAGCCGGCAGCCAATAGGGACCCTGTCCATGCACAAATTTTGTGCACTGGGCCTCTAGTATAATATACTAAACTCTGGGGGCAGTTACATATAACTTGCTGTCAGAGCTTGGAAGAAAAAGCAACTACCTACCTGGGGAGTAATACTTTTCCATTGTTCAGTAGGAACAAAGTTATTTCAAATGCCTTTTTACTGCTGGCTACCTTTATTGCTTTATATGATATGGTCATTTATTATAATTTATGTTCTCCTCAATCCCCTGGTACATATTCAGAGGCTATTCATTGGTCTGTTGATAAACATGCCATTTTTAGAACGTGTTTCTATTTATAACTCTACCTCTTTGCCTCATGGATTGATTTGACATTTGTTTCTTGTTCTTATGTGTCTGTCTCACCCATTCTAGAAAAAGGCTCTTTGTTTTACGCACTTTTTACATCTCCAGCATCTAGCCCCATCCCTATTGCTCAGTGAGTGTTCACTAAACTGAATGACTGTATCTTGTCAGCTCTGTCTCTTCCTTCAGTAGGAGGGGAAAAAAATTTACATCTACATTTAGGTCCCAGATAGTCCAGAAAAAAACAACAACACAAAAATAAACAAAAAAACAACACACACACACACACACACACACACAGAAAAATCTAAATTTTCTCCTCCTTGCTTTCAGTAAACACTAGTTTCCTCTCTTACACTGATATAGGTATTTAAAATAAAAGGCAATGAACATAAAACCTCACAAGTTTTATCAATGTTCAGTCGAAATTGTAAGGATTTGCTGAAATGTTTAAAGATGAAATGACTTGATATCTAGGGGTATATAGATAAAGCAGAATTGGTCATGAGTTGATAATTGATGAAACTGAGTGGTGGTAATGAGCTTCCCATGGGATTTGTACTGTTCTGTCTATTTTTGTGTATGTTTGAATTTCTCTATAAAAGGAACTTTAGTATAGGAGCTCTTCAGAGTATATGAGTTTTCTAATTTTGGTCCTATGGCTAGTTCTTCTGTCAAGTGAAAAGTAGAAAGTCCATTTGAGTTTGAAATTGTTTGGGACTTGGAATGGTTTAGTTTGTGTCTTATTTACACACGGGCTCCATTATGTCGCAAATGATGTTGTTCAGGTATTTATTATGGGTCTTGCAATTAAAAGGAACCTAACAAATGTGCCTTTGTTTTGTGACGTTAAGGCCATTGAACCATGGATGTAGATGGGATGGATTGTTGTCTTCCTCATGTTCTTGCCCAGTGCCCAAGAGCAGTCGGAGTAGTTGAAATATGTCAAGGCCAGAGTAATGTGTGAACGGCATTCCTGATCAATCACATTACATGTTGAGTTACTTTTTCAATAGTAGGGATGGGTTGGCACCAAACTTCACCATCCTGTATTGCCCGTTATACCTTTTGTGTCATCAGTGAGCATTTACTTAGTATGAGGCTGCTAGCTGTGGTTAAGGGTATAATTGTTGACCTTAGAACACAATTTTTCATCTGTATCAAATTAGCCCATTGAAGCTACAACTTTGATGTGCTAGAACCAGAGTGTACTTCCTTCTACAAACTCAGGGGCACCTGGTTCTTTCTCTCTACGCAGTGATTTCCTCTGCCTTCACATCTTACTCGTTCAGGTGCTCCACTGACTGCTTAAAACCTGCTAGTTTGTGAAATCAAAAGCATAATATGGAATTTCAGGCTGTGACAGACCTTGCTGGGTTTCCTTCTAAGATGCACAGAAGGGGTATCTTCTTCAGGGTTTTCTGTCTCTAATTCATTCTTGCCTTCTCCCCTACTGTCTTTTTCAAGGATGTAGTACCTTGACTGCATAATAAACCTGAGAAGGGTCAAAGATAACTATCAATCAGATACACAGACTGGCAATCTCTCTACCCAAGAAGGAACAGCAGTACATTGTGATTCAGTTCCCTATTTTATTTAAAGCCCCTACTTGTTCCCCTTTGTATTAGAAAGCCTTCCTTTGTGAAAAGCAAAAGCATAGAGTGCTAGGGTTTTTTGGGCCAGTGACAGGCTGTGAAAGAATTCACAACTAAAAGAACAGATAGGTGCAGAAAGAAAGTTTATTTTTACTTTCCCCAAAGGGAAAGGGCCAGTGCCTTGTTAATCAATACAAAAGGCAAAGAACAAAAAAGCTGCTCGTTCTTTTAAAGCCCTGGACAAGGAAAGGAGGGTGATTTGGGGGCTACCGCTGTTGCTAAGAGAAATTGAGCAGACATCTGGGGGATTGTCTGTTAGTTCTTTAGGACAGTTCGGGCAGATGTCCTGGGGACCTGGGGAGGTGTTTTATCTTTTTACAGTACTTTTCCGAAGTCTATAAAACATTCTTAGAGCAAA